GGGTTTAGGGTTTAGGGTGCAATAAGGTGAAACGATTCGAACAATGCCTTTTGGGGTAAAGTTATCATATGCTTATGTGAAGGAGCCCGCAGGAATACTATGGTAAGTATTCTAAGCTTTGGGACTGCATGGGCTATAGTACCCCAAACACGTTGAGGTACGCCAGGTCATGACGGGGTCCCAGCGACAGGCATGAGACTGACTCCGTCGAATTAAAGACGGATCCAATGAAGCAAAAGAGCCCAAAAGGCAGGTGGAAAAACAGATCTTTAAGGGCTTTAGGAGGGACCCNNGACCCTTAATAGGGGACCCTTGTAGGATGTTGGGGCCCCTCCTAAAGTCCTTAGAAGATCGAAACTTACTTGCTGTACTAAGTGTCCCTTCGGCGCCACAGCGCCTCCCGCCGGAGGTGCTCCGATCCGCACGTGCCGAAACTCTGGGCTTTGCCTAGGTGTGTCGATTTCAAAAGTACCCGAAATCATACTTAGTTGGAGCTCTATATTCAAGAATCAGGGGAGACAAAAAATCATCCCAAAAACCGGTACGTAGGCGCCTTTTCCCTTGGAGTTTGCAAAGAAGTAAACTTCGAGTTTGGCGCCTTGCCTCACGGCCTCCTCGACATTGGCGATCCACTTTGTCCACCACTTGCACCCCCAGGGCTTTCTCTCTCCGTACAGCGGGACGCACCAGCAAGCGCCTGAGAGATTTATGAAGATGTCGGCTACCACAAAGTCGGGGGTTTCATGTGCATACAGGGAATGAAAAGTCAACCAGCAACAATGAGGTTGTATCATAGTTTTGTATTCCAATAAACTTTCAGACTTTGCTCCACGATCACCCAGCTACCTGTCAAGTCCTTCAGGTCATCATCGTCGGGGATTGAGTCGTGGAGGCCAAAAAGCTGGCTACCCTCTGGCAAAAAGACCACAGCGGCGCTTGTGTTCCCTTTCTTGCTGCTGCGAACCATTGCATCCCATGCCGGTGCATACTTCCCCGGCCATGAACACACACATCCCCTGCCCATGCCTTCAAGCACTCGGCCGTGAAAGACGATGCAGTTTTCGAGTGCACGTTGAGCAACATGTCGTTCCAGCAAATCGGGGTACAATTGAACCGCCAGCTTTCCGTGGAACTTCCTTACGAACCAGTGGATGGTCAGACCGACGGGGAGAATGCAAAGCGGGATGAAGTCCGTGATGTCGGCAACCGCCATCATACACTCCCAAAAGTCGTGTTGTATGTCTTGGCAAAAGCGGCCTATAAGGAGCACATATGGCCCAAGAAGAAAAAACAAGAATGAAGACCACATGAGTACAAGACTTGCGCCCGTACCATACCTCTTCTCGAGGTGCACGAGAGGCTTATTGATATGCCTCATAGTCCACGTAAACACTGCTGTCACGGAACAGAAGGCAACCCATCCTTTCAGGGTCAGCTCTGGCGCAAAATGCATCGTGAGCCCTGAAAGAGCAAGTGTCAACACCATGTAGAGCAGTAAGAAAATCAATAAACGCCTCTGGCAAACCTTCTGGGATTTTTCAAGGTCATGGGTTGTCAGACTCTTGTCGCGCACCTTTCTGAGGAGTGCCTGCGCTTCAGCAAAAGCGACTGACATCTTCTCCCGTTCCAGCCATCGTTCAGCTTGGATGTTGAAGGGCCCCAGCTCTGATGTGCACATCTCGCTGCTGAAGAGCCCTGCTTCGGCATGGATATAGACATGGGACGTGATGGTGTAATCCTCTCGGAGTCGCATCCAGAGTGATTCTGCGCTTCCTGCGATTTGAAGCCTCTGCTTTGGGTAAAGAACGACCCATCCGCTGCCGCAATCGACTTCGACAGCCGCTTGGATGTCGTTCTGGAACGTCGTCATCGGATTAGGGGCAAAGAGGTAAGACTTTGGCTAGGCTTCAGGGTTTAGGGAAAAGAAGGCGATGGCGGGGGGCATTAGCAGAAAACGTCGCGAACGTATCTCAAATCACTCGCGTGTCATGTAGGGGGCTGAAAAAAACTAGAATTGTGTTCTGGGATGTTCGGGGTATAGATATGTGTGTAGAGTAATTATACGGGAACTACTAGGGACGTGAGCCGATCGTGCGCCAGCGGAATCCGAAAAGAGCCTGAACCCCAAGCCCGAAGCCCAAAACCCAAACTGCGGTGATTTTTTCTTCCGATTGCTCCACTTTGGAGCCCCGAAACCCCATGACATCGCTTGATGACGTTGCTTAAAGATGGGGGACGCCATGTAGCGGAAGTTGATAACTACAAAATAGTATAGGTAACTATTAAGGACCCTATACTACCGTAGGACTGCATGAGTCTGGGCTGCTCTTCTCCAGACCCAGAGGTTTTTGTAGGGGCCTTAAATCCTTACCCATACTATTGTGGGGTTCCTGATTAAAGTTATAACGTATAATGGAACATACCCCCCAAAACCGCTATCTTACTTTCCTTCAACAGACAGAATTCTTCGAAGTTTCCGCGCTCACTTGAAGGAGTGGCAACTAAGGGGTGTGTCGTGTGTCAGATAATCTCAGGCTCCGGGCCGCGAGTGTCACTGGGATTGCGTGAACGTGTATGGGAGTTTCCAAAAACAAGGGGT